GTTTCGTTGAGGAGAACGAAAGAAAAGAGTTTGATTGGTTTGCCAGCTAAGACTGTTGAGACTTTTTACGTTGAACTTTCTCCGGAAGAGCGTCAGTTGTATGATCACATGGAAGGAGAAGCCAAAGGTGTTGTGCAAAATCTGATAAATAGTGGGAGCTTGATGCGCAACTACTCCACAGTTTTGAGTATAATCTTGCGTCTTAGACAGATTTGTGACGACCTTTCTCTCTGTCCTCCAGAGTTAAGATCTTTTACCACCTCCACATCTATCGAAGGTAAAAAGAAAACAGAACAGTTACACATATTCTTACTTTTTTTTGTTGCAAAGGTTAAATCTTTGTGTGTTTGTGTGAACCAGATGTGACTGGTAGGCCAGAGCTACTGCAAAAGCTTGTTGCAGTATTGCAAGATGGCGAAGATTTTGACTGTCCAATTTGCATTTCGCCACCAAAAGACATCATCATCACTCGATGTGCTCACATCTTCTGCAGAGCTTGTATTCTTCAAGCCCTTCAAAGGAGTAAACCCTTGTGCCCTCTTTGCCGTGGCTCTCTTACCCAATCTGACCTCTACAATGCTCCGCCTCCTCCTCCGGAGGCTTCCAATACTGATGAAGAAGACACCAACTCTTCAACCAAATCCTCAAAGGTCTCGGCTTTACTATCGCTTCTCATGGCATCAAGACAAGAAGACCCCAACACAAAGTCCGTTGTGTTCTCTCAATTCAGGAAGATGCTGCTTCTACTGGAAATCCCGCTGAAGTCTGCAGGTTTCACCATCTTACGCTTGGATGGGGCAATGACTGTGAGTAAACGTACCCAAGTCATTAAAGATTTTGGGAATTCGGAGTTAACCGGACCTGTAGTGTTGCTTGCGAGCCTCAAGGCCTCTGGTGCTGGCATAAACCTAACTGCAGCCTCGAGGGTTTACTTGTTGGAGCCGTGGTGGAACCCTGCAGTTGAAGAGCAGGCAATGGATAGGATTCATAGGATTGGGCAGAGGCAGGAGGTTAAAATGATAAGGATGATTGCTAGAAACAGTATCGAAGAGAGGGTCCTCGAGCTTCAGCAGAAGAAGAAGAATCTGGCGAACGAAGCTTTTAAAAGAAGGCAGAGGAAAGATCAAAGAGAGGTTAACGTTGAAGACGTGGTTGCTCTCATGTCTCTATAAACTCTAAATCATTCCCTAGTTTTTTTTTCCACTTGACCTTAAGAGTTTTAACCAGTTTTTTTAATCCTTCCTGAACCGATGTTTTTGTTAAATTAATTGGACTTGTCTCGGTTAGTTTTGGCTTAATGAAGGATTAGCTTGTACATGCGTTTTCTGGTTTCAGCCAAAATCGTTTAAGTGCTTCACGGGATTCTCTTTTAGTACAATCGGTCGAAGCAGCGGTCTTTCAACATTCAGCAAGCACAGTTTTGTCCCTCCGGTAATGGAACCGTAGGTCCCAAGAAAAGACGCCCAAAGATCAAGAATGATTGTTACCAACATAGCAGCACCTAAAAACAGCGAGACGTGATAGATCCCGTTTCTCACTTGATTTCTCTTCCATCCTGCAAAAAACCGGCATCACCAATGAATAACAAGGAGTTCAAGTGTTGTTTAAATGAGGATCAAGAAACTCAAAATATAGAGAACTATAGAGTTTGAGGAGTTTTCTTTACCATTGGAAAGCTCACAATGAAGTAAATGGCATAGAACAAACATCCAACTCTGTACATGGCACTTCGATCCACAAACTCGTAGCCTTGTGTCATGAAGAATGTTGTGTGAGGCACCTGTTCAACAACAGAAAAACATGCCATGATGAGTTCATGGAAACAAGAAAAAAACACAGCCTCGATTATCCGGTAAAGTAAATCTGTTTTGCTTACATAACTCATTTTCCACGATGGAAAAGTATACGACGCTCCAAGAACTTTTAAAAAATAGTGAGTGCACAAGTAATTCCACACATAGCTGAAAATAATTATCTATAGATTTGCCTGTTGAAGAAAATAAGATCTGAAAATTCTCTATAAATAATAGATTTCTGAAAATTTATAGTTCTGAAAATAAGCATTGAGTTAGATATTAGTATGTTTTAAAAGTCTAAATTTTTTAAATAAATGGGTTAACACGATGAGGAATAGGTGAAATTTTACCTTGGTTAAACAAATTTTACTTGACAAATTGCTAATAAATTGCTAATAAATTGCTAACAAATTGCTAACAAATTAAAAATAAGATCTGAAAATTCTCTACAAATTATAGATTTCTGAAAATTTATAGTTCTGAAAATAAGCACTGAGTTTGTTCTTGAAAAAAAAGGAGGAAAATCAATAGAGTAATGTGGCTCGGATTGTCAACGAGTCACATGTTAGGTGAATCTCTAAATTGTGGCTCGGATAGTCACAATCTGAAGTCTTTCCTAGATTGCATAGAGATATTTTTATGGAATTACTAATTGAATGATTTAAGAGGTTTATTTCCTGTAATGTTTTAGTGGACTGCATCAAGTTGGCCAAAGTAAGAAAAGAAGAGTAATCTTTGGTTCAGTTCAATGCAAAAGAGAGGAAGGTCTCTGTTTCAGAAAACGGAAAGGAAATTTCTTTCAATTTCTTTAAATAGTGTTGGACTTGTTAGGAATTTGGTCTTACGATGAGGAAATTTTGGTCGGCTTGACTTGTTGAATTAGAGAGGAAGAAGTAATCCATGAACTATAATTTTTGTAAAGAAACTGAAGTATCTATCATTGGTTGAAAACATAAATCTATAGTTTTGTTAAATATCTTAACTTTGTGTACATTTTAAAAATCAAATATCATCCACACTCAAAATACCAAGACTTGAATTTACTTGAGACTTTTATTTTGGATTGTGATCCGTAATTTTTTTTTCTGAAGTCTAATTCTGGTCTTTCCAAAACCTGTTATAAGTTTATAACTGTCTTATTATTGTAAAATAAGGATCAATCAGAGGGCATAATTATTAAATAAGTGGATGGTAAAGGCATAAATAAAAAGAAGTGAAAGGGTAAATTCATAAATATGTGTACACTTTTATCATCGAACACCAACAATTATACTCTGCAGCGGTAGCAAGTTATCTATCCGCGTAACAAGTTTTTTTTTCGATTTAATGCATTAGTTACTACTTACTAGTAATAGTAAGTATAAGTAGTCATCTGTCCGCGTAATAGTAATGTCCGCGTAATAGTAAGTGTAAGAAGGCTATTAGATCCAAATGATCTAGCAACTCCTCCAAACGATTGTAATCATTTGGTCCTCACTAGAAACATAATACAAAACAATGTACAAAAGTTAACTAGTCAATGGCAAAAAGAAATTACCAAACTAGTAAAACAAAAGTCATCATTACTCACGTAGATTGTCAATTGCATGTGGAATGATTAATGATTGTTTTCCCTCTTTCGATAAATACTAGTTTGGTAAAACGATAATCAATAATTGTTTCCCTCGTTCATATCGGAGTTCTCGATCTTCTCCACCGTATCGCTGCTAATATCGACTCCTTTGTTTTCTCTTTCATTATCAGAGTTCTTGAACAAAAGCTAGTTTGGTTAAAGATTGCAAAAAGATAAGCTCTATTCCAATACCAACTGGCCAAAAGTGTGGATTTTGTGAATGTTTAGTGCAAAGGCAAAATCGTTTTGCTTTTTAGATTCTTATTTTCCTTTTTAGATTTATTGTTTTTAAAAAATAGTTTTGTTCCTTCAGCTGGTCTTATGAGGATTACCAACATAGCCGATAAACAAACAATTCTACTCATGTATAAGAGGAGGCAAATCGACTCAGGTTAAACCAAGGTAACATTGCTTTCGGTTATGTCCAATTTGGTTAAACCCAAGTTAAAATTTGTTTAACTGTATAATATTCCTCATCGTGTTAACCTAAGGTAAAATTTGTTAGCAATTTGTTAGCAATTTATTAGCAAATTGTCAAGTAAGATTTGTTAGCAATTTGTTTATGTAAAATTTGTTTAACCAAGGTAAAATTTCACCTATTCCTCATCGTGTTAACCCATTTATTTTAAAATTTTAGACTTTTAAAACATATATCTAACTGGATCCACATGAACTAGCATAGCCACATATGTAACCAAATAATCAAGGATCGATTGGTGTGGCCTTTTCTGTAGTTTATTAAAGCGTAATTAAAAGAGTTATAAGGTTTTGTGATACAAGACAAGTAATAAAGAAAGAAAACAGCCACATAAGCAGTAGTGATCATACTACTTTCTATTTTTATTTTCTGTTATGAAGATACACATTTGTAGATACTTAACTAAGAAGAGATTATATGGCACAGTCTCTTATTTTATAAGGATTGAAACATAAGTTTGTAATTAAGATTTTGCTCTTATATAATTAGTTGAAATTTAGTTGGGCGTTAGATACTTATTTATGATGAGTCTTCACCTAACATGTTTTACTTGACGTCAACACACTTCTCGTTTTCCAATCTTCAAAAAGTCAAAACCGTTAATAAAAAGACTATTCATCTTTAGCAGATATCAAACGGCGTCAAATACGAAGGGGGCATTTACTCTTTCATATCGTAAAAGTCGTAATAAAATACAAAACTAAAAGTCAATTATACATACAAACAAATACTCTATAAACTAAATTATGCGATCTATCAGTTGGTGTTACCTGTCAAAAGTGCCGAGTGCTAAAAAATGTGTTAGGTTAAATCAATAAAGTATAACCTCTATAAAGTAATATTTGATAAAGTAATAATCACGATAAAGTAATAAATTTCTCCGGTCCCAACTCGGGCCAGTGTAAAAATAAGCAAAATGCGATAAGATGATAAGATAATAATATTTTTGAAACTCCTATGTAAAAATATGGTCCCAATAATGAGTTAAAGTAATAATTATATTAAACTATACATATATGTCTAAGAAGGTTGACAAAAAAAATATATGTCTAGGAAAATTTATGAAACTATGACTTAAAGTTTATCTTTAACTTTTTATTATATAAAAACTCATAATGAATTTTTTATATGCATCTAAAATTGTTAAATATGTTCTAAAAACATTATTTTCAACTTCATTAATAGCTATATTTTTCTAATCTTTTATTTTAATTTTTATCGTGTATCAAATTTTATAGAATTTTTTAAATAAGCTAATAATATATATTTTATTACGATATCCAAAAGATTTGATCATAATATCAAGTTTATGTGTGATATATTAACAAATAAGTTCTTCTAAATTCTTAATACATTATCGTATGAAGAATAATTTTCAAAGATTATGAATTAAAAAATTATTTTTATAAATTAATAAATACTTTATTTATTCATAAAGTAATATCTTATAAGATAATAAAATTTCAAAGTCCCAACATTATTACTTTATAGATGTTTTACTGTATTACAATTTTATCTGATTAAATATTTATTGTAAGTTTTTGTTTGTATCCACATATGATTCCACAAATACATGTTAGGGTTAAATGAAACAGCATAATACAATATTTGTTCCTTGATCAAGAAAGTCAACAGTTTGTTACCATGTGTCGTTTTGATATTTTTCTATCCCAAAAAGACTTTTTTTTTTATCAAAATATAAAATACATCGATTATAAAATTACAAATCTATTGCTGTTTGATTGGTAATTATTTTATTCCGTACTGCAGCGATGCGGGTGTTACTATTACCACTTACGAAAAATGTCCAACATGATGATTCCAACATTACACTATTAGCGTAAGGTACCGAGTTATTGTTTCATGTACCAAAATATGGTAAACAATAATATGCTTATCTCTTTGATTTTTTGTTTTCTTCTTACATAAAATATGATATATTTAATCTCAACTAAATTGCATAAAAGCAGTGTATCTATATTCGTTAGACGGTATTGTATGGGTATTTTTGGAATGTGGTAAAATGAAAATCACGATTCAAATGTTACAGATTTGCTATGTACTGAACATTTTGAGGAATATATTTTGTTAAATCCAGAATCTTCTGGGCTATAAATCATTAGGCAGCTAGCCTAAAAGTGGCATCTATGAATTATGATTGCATTTTAGTTGCTATTCGGATGAATTTTGTAGATGGGACCATTCGTGGGTAGATGGATGGATTGTTATCATCCCTTCCACACAAAACACGCACCAGTTCCGGTGGGTCCACCGAAATCCCGTAAAGCAGCCACTACATCTGCTGACGTGTCGTTTAATCATACAGATGGCTGTGACAGACCCGTGAGTTTAGCACTCAAAAAACGAGTCGCAGGGTTTTCACGCGTTTAAGGGTGAAGGACGACGCGACTGTCTCTACCGCTAAAATTCTGATTGGCTGTGATATCACCGCCCCAAAGTCCCGTACATCTTCGTTTTGCCACGTATAGCCATTAGATCAATTAATTTGTTTTGCTTGATTTTGTTGACCAACGTAAATAAATGCTTTGAAATTCCACTCAACTACTAACAATTTTCAATTTTTGATCCAACAAAATAAACTGTTTACTTCATCGTAAGTATTTAACTTATACTTATACTTTTACAAGTTACAATTTGTTTTCTCCGATCAAAACACCAACGACTGTGGTCTTATATAAATACAACGGATGTCGTCATAGTGTGTCATGTCTTATGAGTCATTTTTTTGTGTCGATATTCTCTAAAACAAAAGTTAGTAGATGAGATAGGTTGGATTAACTTGTACCGGAGTTCTACATATATGACTAAAGGTTTAAACTTTAAAGTTGTAAATTATATCTACACGTTATGGCCTCACAACTATGGTTTAGAAAAAGTCGATGTGTTAATGAAAATAATTGAAAGGATAATGAGCTTTATCTTTTCTTTTTCGAGCTTTTCCAACCAAAAAAAAGATAACGAGCTTTGCTGGGAACCATTCAGAGTTTCTAAATTAGGATTGATCTTGAAAGTATTGGAAATTTATAAAGAAAAATACTTGTATATCTCATACAATCCCAACAAAATTTGTAAGTGGATTAGGTATAAAGTTGAAACATATCTTGTAGATTAATGAGTTAGAGTGTTTAAACAACTTTGTATTCAACTGCTTAGATTATAATGTAAACGACTTTTTTATCAGTAGCGCAGTGAGGAAATTAAGCTTATTGACATTTTCCAACGTAATAAATAGGATACATATCGATAAATTTATAAGTGAGAAAAATGGAGGCAAAAAAGAGTTTGACCTTGTTCACTAACTTGTTTCGTCGTTCAAGCACAAGTACAACGCATGTGTAAGAGAAATAGATGAATGAATGAATGAATAATTTAGATATTATTCTTTTAAAATAATTGAATAGCCAAAGAAGACCGATCAGGTCAAAAGAAAGCCGTAAAGAAAAGGGAAAATATCCTTTTACCAAACAGATACAGAGACTTCGGAGAAGAAGAGTATAGAGAAAAAAAATAGAAAAAAATCATTTTTTTCTCTCTCTTCAAAGATTGAGTAGCTAAAAAAAAAAGATTTATTTCCCGATTAAAAAAAAAAAGGGAGCTTTCTTGTAGAATTGAATTGCAGCTGGTTTAACGTAGCAGCACTTGGGTTTTAGATAGACAACGTAACCAAAAACTGTTTCATGTGTGTCTGTTTTGTGTTCTCTTGGTTTTTGGGTTTTCTCTTCTTTTCTCTCTTTGCGGTGCATTTTATATTTTCTCGGGAAAATCCTCTGTGGACTTTCCGGGAAAACTTTGTCAGATTCGTAAAAGATTAAAAAAGGGAAAGGAAAAAAGAAAATCCAGAGAACTTACCAACCAGATTTTGTGTTTATCCCTTTTAGATTCTTTCTTCTGATCGCAAATCTTTTCCGTTTGATCATTTCCATAACCGAAAAGGGAATCATCTCCAAATACTCAACCTTTAGATTTCCAATTGAGCTTTTTTGGTAAGCACACATTGAAAAAAAATCCGTGGGTAGATTCGCTACTTGTTTCCTCTCTTCTCTGATCTTCTCTTTGGGGATTCAATCAAACCTTGTTCTTCATCGAATTACCATCTTAATTCTCTGGGATAATTATTCACTCTATATTGAGATTCATCAGGAAATAGAATCCGATTAGTTATCCGATCGACAAAAACCGGATTCGAAATCGATCAATCCACCTGACGATGACGGGTATGAAACCATCAGCTTCGCTAGATAGCTGGAGGGAGTATTTCCGGCGAGGAGATTCCGATATTTTCGGGATCATCGATCACGCGATCATGGTGGCCGCTGCCGATTGCCCAAACAAATTCAAATCGAGGAGAGACAAAATCGCCGAGCTTCTCTTCTCGTGCAGAGTGGGTCGCTGCGTCGGATGCGACCACGTCGAGCTATCTGTTCCCGGAGACGACGAAGCGAATCGCGGAACCGCCGGAGCAGGAATCGGCGACGGCAGCGGAGGCGGCGATGCGGCGGTTGATGGCGACGAGGATTATGAGGTTGGTGGGAGTAAAGAGAGCAAAGCGAACAGTAGCAGAGGAGATAACAATCACATCGACGAGACGAATTTGAACAACAATCAGATTGTAAGCAATTATACATATGACGAAGCTGAGGCCTTGAGTGATGCGATTGAAGAGTTTTCTGTGATTTCTAAGGAAGTTGGTAGGATCAGAGAGATCTTGCTCAACAAAGAAGACGAGGTTTGATCCAAATTTGCTTGAATTGCAATTTGTTAATTCCATCAGTGAGAGAGCTTGTTTCTGATTGTTTCTCTCTTTTGTTTATGCAGCCACAGTCGGTGATATTTGAGTCTCTGAGGAAGCTAAAGCTGATGTCTTTGAATGTGGATATTCTCAAGGTTGGTTTTGTGGTGGATAGTGTGTGAAGTAGTAGTAAGTTGTTGAGTTGATCCCTGAGGGTTTTGAGATTGTTCTCGCAGAGTACTGAGATCGGAAAGGCTGTGAATGGCCTGAGGAAACATGCTTCTGATAAGATTCGCCAACTTGCAAAGACTCTTATCGCGTATGAGTTTTTTCATCCTTCATTTCTTAATACACTTTCTTTGACAGCTTGGCATTGAGATGTTTGTTTATGGGTGAAATGCAGAGAGTGGAAGGAGCTGGTTGATCAGTGGGTCAACACCACCAAGGAACTCACTGGTAATTGCTCTCTCTCTCGCTTTTGGAGTCTTACAGTTTTGGTTTTCTTGAATTAGATCCATAGTCTTTGGTTCTAATTTGTGTTTGAAAGCAGGTGGTGCTGAAGGTACACCGGAGTCTGCAAATCCGTCTGTAGTTGATGAAGAAGAAGCGTTTCCATCGCTTCCATATGATGTCGACATCTTTACACCGCAGCCAGACGTGTTTGAAATGGGAAATTTCTTTGATTCCATGGATTTTGATACAAGTGAGTTTTAGACTATTTTCTTTACCATGTTTTTTTAGCTATATGTTTGTTCGGTTGATTCATTTTCCTTGGTGTTGTTTGTTTGTTTCAGATCCTCGTAGCTCTGGGGAACACAAGGCAAGCCGAGAACACGAAAGAAGACCACAAAATATCGCCAAGAGAAGACCAGAGGGCACACAAACGAGGATACAAGACGCTCCTTCTAGATCTGTTAAGCCATCATCAGCTACTGATTTTGATGAAACTAGGAGACCTCTTAAGCAAAACACAGAACAGAGGATGGTACCTGTTCACAAGTCTGAAAGACCCATGAGCCAGAGGAAACCGCTTGTTACAGAACACAAGCGGAGAGCTCCTGAACCTCGACAAGAAGTAAGTGTGGCTACAAACAAACCTCTTGTGTTTTCTTTTATCATAATCTTGGACTTTGAAATGACGGCTTTGTTTCGTTCTTGGCCCTGGCAGAAACTTAAGGGTCTTGATGGAGACGCAAAGTTTGAGTTTGCAAAGAGGAAACTTCAAGAGAGCTACCAACATCATGAGAACGGTTTGTGTTCCTTTTCCATTTCGTTTTCCAATACATCATTCTTGAAAACAAGAACTAACAAGCAGAGGAAATGTTTGTGATGTTGCCAACAGCCAAGAAGCAGCGAACAATACAAGTACTTGAGACGATCCCAAAGCAAGGTAGTGCTCAGAAACCACAACTCAAGAGACCTGGAATGAGCAACAGGAATTGGGCAAACGGTCGAAAGTAGCTTCCTCTCTTCTGTTACAATGGTGAATAGTTCTCTGGGGGATGACATTATTTACATACAAACCACAAATTATCCGCAATCTCTGGTGAAATAAGGTATAAAGATTCCACAAGCTGGAGACAGAAACAAGCAGAGGAGAACAGCTTTTCTACAACTTAACTTCACTTTGATCAAAAACTGTTTTCTCCTCTGTTTTGTTCTGTCTGGATTCACCAATTTGCAGCTGATGTTGGTACTTTGTTTTCTGTTTCTTCTCTACTACATTCTTGAGACTTTGGGTACAGTCCCGGTTTAGTTTAATCCGGTTTGGTCGGGTCATGTTCGGTTTTGAGAAGAGAGAGAGAGAGTCAGAGAGAGAGGTCCCTTACATTACAGATATACTCTCATTATATACAAATTGTAAAAGAGAAGAGAGAAGCTTTTTCGAATTGACCGGCTCTTCACCTAACTTTGTATAGTGACGTGAAATGGTTTGGGACAGAATAGAGATGATCACATTTTTTTTTTCCAAATAAATAAAGTCTATTTGATGGTATCTACTGTCCTCAATGTGAATGTGACCAAATGTTGTTATACATTATTTGTTTGGTGGTGTTGTTTATTATATTTATACAAAATAAATCAAGTAATAAATAGGATGCTTAATGCATTGGAAGGCATAAAGGTGGGTGGGTGGATAATAAGAAAAGAAAGAGGAGCTAGTAGTGATGGTGGGAGTTAACGTGGATGGATAGGAATGTTACATTGTGGCCTTTGTGCGTGTTCGATATATTTATCATAAACATATACTGGGTTTGGTTTATATAATATAGTTTTCTTCATAAGTTATTTCGGCGTTACGCGTTCACGCAATTCACCACATGTAACACGTGGACTTCCACAACTTCTAACTCCTTCAATTTCTATTAAAAAAATAACAATTGGATATAGTTCTTTTACAAAAAAAAAAAAAAAATATTTGGAAGAAGGAAACGCACTTTATAGTTTGATCGAGAAAGTAACGCAAACATTACTAGTTTGGACAAAAACAAACGTAACGATTTACAAAAACACTTACAAATTCCATTAAGCATTCAGTAATATTGTGATAACTAATCAAGCACCAATGGTATAACTTCTCGGTCTCTTTTTACTTTTTAGATTGGGTGTGAAACTTATTTTGTTCATTTCCTCAGAATTTCTTCGGATCAGAACAACGGATATTGCGGACAAACACATAATACTACGAATGTATGTTCTGGCGCTTCAGAAGAATGAAGACATTCTGGTTATTAGCGGTGATAGGGACTTCGTGTCATTGGTTAAGCACTTGAACGGATACCATTATGGTGGCAAAACCTAGGACATTGTCTAGTGGTGAGTTAAAAGGTAAACCAACATGGTAGTGGGACACAATCAGAGCCGTAAAATTGGATATGTTGGTTACTTGGTAAAATTTAGTATGTGAAATGCGGAAATAAAAATCAATAAGGCTTTAACTAAACAATAAATAGTCAACAATCCTTGCATGACTTCTTTATGTTGCTACATTGTATTTAGTTATTTACCAAAATAAACAAATAGGTAATCAAGCATGTTTTGATCATTTTTCAAGCATGTTTTGAGCATTAATCAAGCATGTTTTGATAACTAATCAAGCATGTTCTTTTTTCTTTTTCTTTTCTGAACTTTGTTTAGTATTTTGATAAATCGTTAAAGCTCATCTCTTTTTTTTGTTTCAACTCTTCTCTTCCATTTATTAGTTTATAATAAGCCCCAAACAAAAAGTCCATTACACCATTTGTTTCCGGAATTACCCAGTTAAAAGCGATATTCATACCCAAAAAAAAAACAGATCAACACCGATTAAGCCAAGAATATTTTAATATTCTCCAAAGAAGGATTAATATAAGCTTATGAATTAATCAATTGTGGAGACGCTTAAAGAAGTAGGGATAACCCGGATCTGCTGAGATAGTGACTTTGGTGTCATTGAAAATAACCCCAACGAGCTTTTTTCATTATGTGTGCCTCATAGTGACCACATTGCGTTGATGTTCCGATGTGACCTACTATCCCAAACAGCTTGTATCCTGCTTTTTTTTTGTAAGACAAAATGGAAAACTTTTTGAGTTAATTAGGATCATTAAATTCTCACTTTGATCTTTCTTAAGGTATTAAAAGAGCTGTGAAGGAACTAATTGACTCATTCCTCCGTCTGGTAATCCACTTTAGTGCAACTTCTTCTGGAGCTGTATAATGCATGCAAAGAATTATAGGATGCATGCATTAAGTTATTAATAATTAAATTCATTTATTCAAGCGAATTGGATGAAACACCATAATTTCTCTTAATATAATTATAACAACACGTACCTCCATCTTGCAACAGTTCCTCTCCAGGTTGAAGTCTCTTTGGTAATCTAGTAGTTTATGCTACTCATTCTTTGTGTTATACTCTTATCATCCGGATTTCATCCATATTAATTTATAAACAAAAGTCCCATTCTATAAATTGGAGATGCAGTACTCAAAACGGCGACAATTAAACTGACAAGGACATCTGAAAATAGTGGAGCCGCAACAATCCTTTTCTTCTTGAGCTCCATTATTTGAAGGAGTAAGACCTAAATTGTCATGTAGCATCAGGCCAATCGCTACTTTGTGCCCCCCAAGAGTGTTCTTGTAATTTTATTGAGGAGACCATTACGATAAGAAATTCTTGTGGAAAATATGATGAAATAGATTATAGAGCGGACAGAGTCTAACTATTTCGTGATCACGATGTGACCACTGAATAGAAGCCGTTCGTTCTTTTTCATACAGTAGTCGAGATATTTTGACAAGAACCGTATCAGTTCTGCCGACAAAGTATTTGGAATTTTATGCATTTTTCGTAACAGTTAGTAAGGAAAAAGTTGGAAAATTTGGAATAAATTTATTGCTATTTATTGGAGAGAAAATCGGGAAATTCCATTCCATTTTATTTATACGCTAAAAAACATAAATGTTGAGATAATAAAACGTGCCAGGATCTTATCTAATCGACTAATTCATACAAGTTGCCTAATATGGCAAATTATAATTTTGTCACATACAAATTATAGTGTAACATTTTCATTAAGTAAGTTAGGCGAGTTTTTAATAACTTGTGATTTTCTTATATCCACATCCACGTGATAGAATTTAGTTTTTAATTGTAGGATTCATCATCTATATATGACCCACGAATTCACAGTTCAAGGAACAACAAAATGAGCTTGTTTTGGATCACAGTATTCGTGATAGCCTTAGTGGTTGTGAAGATTAGCCAGTTGTGGTACCAATGGTCAAACCCCAAGTGTAATGGCAAGTTACCTCCGGGATCAATGGGCTTCCCGATCATTGGAGAGACGTTCGATTACTTTAAGCCTCATGGATTCTACGAGATCTCCCCATTTCTCAGGAATAAGATGCTAAAGTCAAATTTTAATCCTTTCTCTCTGTCTCTCTATATATGTATACAGAGATAAAATCTTGTATGTTTGTGCGAGTGTTTCAGGTATGGACCTTTGTTTCGGACGAACATTCTTGGATTGAAAACCGTGGTTTCGACGGATATGGATGTGAACATGGAGATTCTAAGGCAAGAGAACAAGTCTTTCAATTTAAGTTATCCGGATGGTTTAGTGAAGCCATTGGGAAAAGATAGCTTGTTCTTCAAGACAGGAAACGTTCACAAGCACATCAAACATATCAGTATGCGTCTTTTGGGCTCAGAGAATTTGAAGCGGAAGATAATTAAAGATATGGACCGCGTCACATGCGAACATCTTCGTTTGAAGGCTGGCGAAGGAAGATTCGACGTTAAGGAGGCAGTTTCAAGTGTAATCTTCTTTTTCTTTTAAAAAAAAAAAAATCGGTTATGATATTGGTGTTAATGCTGTATAGCTCTTTATACTGTTTCGATTTTTGTAGTTGATAACAGCCTACTTGACACCAAAGGTGATAAGTAATCTCAAACAAGAGACTCAAACAAAGCTTATGAATAACTTCAAGGCCTTCAGTTTTGATTGGTTCCGGGCATCTTATGCTCTCTCTGCCGGGAGGGGTCTCTACAATACCCTTTGGGTGAGTTTTTTTTGTTTTGTTCTCGGAGAGTAACACAAACATGATTTCTATAAATCACATTATATGCAGGCATGCAGAGAGGGGATGAAGTTGATAAAGGATGTGTACACGAGGAGGAAAACATCAAGAGAGAAGCATGATGACTTCCTCGAAACGACGATAGAGGAGTTAGAGAAAGAAGGAAGCTTCGTGAACGAAAATGTGCTTGTAAGCCTCATCTTCACTCTTTCCTGTATCACTCAGGATACCACCTCTAAGGCCACTTGCATGGCTGTGAAATTCGTGTCGGAAAACCCAAAGGTTCTCGCAGAGTTGAAGGTAATGCATATCCATATGGATCCATAAGCTAGTAATTTTTTCATCTAACCAGGTGATGGTTCATACTAGTCCTGGTTTTTTTCCGTCCACTCATGCATTGGCCAATGCAATGTAATTTGGCAGAGAGAGCATGAGGCAATCCTTGCGAGCAGAAAAGATAAAGAAGGTGGGGTTACTTGGGAAGAATACAGGCACGAGATGACTTTCACCAACATGGTAATTTCACTTTGCTTTCGTCTAAGGTTATAGTATATTATATTGTCAGATTCACATGGCGGGCCTTTTTAATGTACACTCTCCAGGTTATCAATGAGTCACTTCGAATGACAAACTTGGCTCCTATGATGTTTAGAAGAGCCGTGAAAGATGTGAAAATCAAAGGCACGTTGTAATAATTATTTTGTTTTGTTTGTGCTTATAGATTCAGAAGAAAGGGTTGACGTTTTTGTGGGAATGTTTGTTACAACAGGATACACGATTCCAGGAGGTTGGATAGTGATGGTTATACCTTCAGTGGTTCATTTTGATCCTGAAATCTATGAAAATCCTTTTGAGTTTAATCCATGGAGATGGGAGGTATATTATACATTTACTTTAAAACCTATGTGTAATTGCATGAACAATTCTCAAAAATACCACAACAATAAGTTTGTATTCCAAAAATACCACAAAATAAATTTGTATTCCAAAAGTACCACAATCAATGTTTTTCCCAAAAATACCACAAAACTAAAACTAAACCTAAAACTAATTAATATTGTGGGCAGGGGAAAGAGTTGCGGTCAGGGTCTAAAAAGTTCATGGTGTTTGGAGCGGGAATCAGACAATGCGCAGGTTCAGAGTTTGCGAGGCTTCAGATTTCAATATTCCTTCATCATCTTGTGACTACTTACACTTTCTCCTTGTCCAAAGAAGACTGCGAGGTGATTCGGGTACCAGGTGCTCTCTTCCCCAATGGCATCTCTATGAACATCTCCAAGTGTTGTTCCACGTGACTTAATAAATATCGGACACACCATATTTTACCAATTATCATATCTTACCATTTATTACCATTATGTTCTTCCGTTTTATCGTATAGTTAATTCTTTATAGCATTGAACTTATTTTAAGAAAATGGATAGTATCTCTTCCACATCAACTATAAAATTTCGTATGAGATCTCTTCAACAATAAAATAAAATTGGTATGACAAAACAAATTAACAGTTCATAGTGGTTTCGTGCGTTGCAAGTATTAATCTGTAAAAACCTGATAAACCCTAACTTCCGTAAACATCAATCGTTGTGACAGAACTAAACAAGCTAATCAATGAGGATATCGGTCTAACAGCAGACCATAAAAAGCATTAAAACAAAGAGAAATATCAACTATCAACATGCCACCAGCAATTCGGCCTGGTTTTGGGCTCTCCTCCATCTAAACCTTGTGTGCACTCAACTACAGACTGTACAGAATGAAGAAATAGACCACCTTGTGCCTTGTCATCAGCAGGACTCGGAGGCGGCTTTACTAGGAGAAGAGGGTGATTTCTCGATTCTCGATTCCAAACACATAAGCACCCTGTGCAACTCGGTATCTGGGTCTGGTTTTGGGATCACCATTAAAACTGCTGGAGAGTCATAGGTCGGTGATGCGAAATTAATAAGGTCAACAGCCATTTCACCATAATCTGAAGCGAGCAATATATCCACAGAGACAGATTACAGACATAAATATTTTTAAGTAGAAACGAGACAAGAGAGTTTCAAGTATAGTAGTAATTCACCTCTTGTGTTTGCGATTGGGGTATGCAACATGTGTTGACCTTGTACTTTGTAACAAATTCCGGCTTTGTAAAAGTCGTCTTTTTGGTCGAGATTGTCACCATACGCATGGAGATCCGCCGGACAATGAAAGCCCAATTTATCAAGAGCTGAACTGATATTACGAATAGCACAAGGAATCTCACTGCAAGGGACTGGGCACTGCTTCACGTCCCAGAAGACCATTACCGACCTCGCATTACCTTTGAGAACAAGAGGCATCAACGAATTAGGTTTAGATAAGATTAAGATCCATTACCCCATTAATCTCTAGACAAAACAATTTCGAGACATCTTACAGTCGAAATCTTTATTCTTTTTGCCCACGGGCTCCCAGAACTCGCATTCCCGAGCACCTTCGACGACGGCTGTGCGGTTTCACAAAACGGACAAGCGCATAAACGAATTGCTAAATTAAATATACAATAGTTTTTTTTTTTTTTTTTTTTTAATATACAATAGGTTTATATGATATGACCAATTATTTTACTTTTTACGGATCGATTAAATCCGGCTAGTTAACTTTTGACAGGTCCAACGGATGAAATCTAAGCAAACAATTTCGGGAGAGAGAGATCTTACTGGAAAAATCTTCGACATGGAGAGAGTTCTTACGCAAGGCATCTTTGCTATCTGAACAAAATCGGTCAAGTAAACGAATTACAAAATACAGTGATGAAATCTATAAATATATAAAAAAACAGTTGGAGAGAGATCTTACCGGATAAACTTTCGATCTTTCCGGCCATGGTTCCACGGAGAGAATTGGAGAATTTCTCGCTAAATTAGGGTTAGATCGGGCTTCGAATGAAATGGATGGATGAGAGAGAGAGAGAGAGAGAGCCTTTGTTGGTTTTATGACCAAGATCCACTTCTCATTCTCATCTGTGTTTTCACTTTTTAGAGCGATCTTAAATAAAAGGTGTTAGATCTTCATCTGTGGCATGTTTACAATCATTTGCATTTAGATCGACTTGTGCATTTATAACGGGTTCACACATGTTTCAATGCTTTAATGGGATGATAATTGATTTCGTTTTTCTTACCAAGACCAAAAGAAATAATTTAAAAAATTCGGGATTATTGTTAGGAACTAAATAATATATGGAATTATTAAACTAGACAATTTAAAAGCAGAGATGAGATCAGATCGAGCAACTTAACCGGTTGCGCTGTAAGCAGACCGAGCTTGTGTCTGAATCAGGAACTGCCAAGAACACTGTTGAAGAAACTGAGAGCTATGGTTAAAGAACTTGAATAACAAGCGGAGTTGCAGCGAAGAGTGATATCAGAAGCGAGAGGAAGAGAAGCTTGAGGCGATTAGACAGCTTTGTTTCTCTCTTGATCATTACAAAAGTGGATATAGACAGCTTTTGCGGCTTCTTTCGAGCAGCAACAAACGAAAACAAGCAATCATGGTCGTGTGAGCTGGATTGAATTACTCTCGTTCGCTTATTTGTTACAATCTAAAATGTTTTTCTTTTATCCTGCTCATCTTTGTGTCATTGTCTTTTGTTATGGCTCCGAAATTCTTCAGATTCTTTGTATGAATTCTAAGGTCGAAGATGTTTTTAATATGAGTCAAAGCTAAAAGCGTGAATTGTGTAATAACGACGTAAAGCGTAAATAACTAAAAGCCGAGGGAAGAGCCGAAGAGAGAGTCAAAGCTAAAACAAAAATCATTTATCCAATATGACCATGTATTTGATGGGACTGGAGGAGACCTCTAAAGCAAGGGAAATGTTTGTGATATTCTCAACACAGCCAAGAAGCAGCGAACAATACAAGTACTTGAGACGAAACCACAACTCAAATGAAATTGTTCGGGAGAAATGAGCAAAACAGGAGTTGGACGAAAATAGCTTCCTGATCTCGGTTAAAGATGGTGAATAATTATATGGAGAAAGACAGCATTATCTACATAGATACAAAATATCCGCGGTAAAAAGAGCCACAAGTTAACTACAAGCTGGAGACAGAAACAACAAGCATAGCCACAAGTTAAACCAACTGTTTTTTCTCTCCTCTGTTTTGTTCTGTCCCAATACGCAACTAGTTATGCTTGATGCTTCTTTGTGCAGTGTGGTTGGTTTTACCAAACTTCCTTTTTCTCCTCGAAGGAGTAGACCACATCTAATAGCGCTGCTGGCCATTCAACGTCATCTTCTGATCGGTAGTTGTTAGGCGGAGCTGCTAAGAAAACATGGTAACCTATCATACTCAAAATTTCAAGCCTACTGAAGAAATACAAGTCATCTCTGACTTGATCCGACACTAGGACCAAAAACGATGGACGAGGATAGATCACAGGAAAGTCCATTGCCCATAAATTGATGTCATGTAACATTCTACTACGTCTCGCGTGTTTATCATCCCCTGGAAAAATATATATTGCAACTGATGAGATAAACCTAGACTAGATTAGATTACAGCATATAAATTAATTTATAAGAAAAGTGAAAAGTCACCTCCGGGAAGGAAGTAGATTCTAGATTCCCAAGTCTTTTCTTTCAGAAAATCCCTAACCCACCGTTCCTTGCCATCAACATAAACCCAGATTGATTTCTCACCCATACAATCCTCATCACTGTCACCAAGAGCTCTTTCGATTTTCTGATAGATGACATCAGGACTCAAACCAGGAGGGATTGGTTACGCCACGGCGTCCCAGAACACGCCTGTCTTGCCCATTTTCACGGCGGCTGCGCGGTTTCACAAGCCGTTCGTAAACGAATTACGAAACAAAGAGATTCGATTAGGTTAAATGATCCGATGATTTACGTTAACTAGGACAGATGAAATCTAAACAAATAATTTCGGGAGAGAGATCTTACTGTCATAATCGTTGAAATGGATCATTTTCTTACGCAAGACATCTTTGTTATCTGAACAAAATCGGTCAAGTGAGCGAATCACAATACAGTGATGAAATCTATAAATAAAATAAACAACAGCTGGAGAGAGATCTCACCGAATAAACTTTCGATCTCTCCGGCCATGGTTCCACGGAGAGAATTGGAGACTTTCTCGCTAAATTGGGGTTAGATCGGACTTCGAATGGATGAGAGCGAGAGAGAGAGAGAGAGAGAGAGAGCGAGAGAGAGCCTCTGAGCCTTTGTTGATCTTGATCAAGATCCTCTTCTCATCTGTGTTTTTTACTTTTTAGCGATCTCACATATTAAATTAAAATAAAATAAGAAAAATAAAGATGTTAGATCTGTGGCATGTTTGAGTTTGACTGCTAAAAAGGACAATTAATATCATGTTAGATTTTATGTCAGGGGAAGAAATAGGAGTATATGATTGTTACTTTTTAATTATATATTACCAAAAAAAGTTATTTTGGGTACGTTGTCTTTATTTAGCTGAACAATATGACGTGTGAAGTGTGAACCTTTGGCCCGATCTCGTCAATCTTTCGTCGGAACCAGGTTATCATCGACACAAAAATATCTTAACACAGGACTTATAAATATACCATTCGCATTAAAAATTGCTACCATTAGATTTTGTACGCGTGCATATATGTTTTAAAGTTGGAGTGTATTTATGAAATCTGACCCCGAATCATTCTCGTGAATGGGGAATTTATCGAGAATTAAAATCTCGAATTTCAACTTTTATATCACCAAAACTCCTTTACAATTAAGGATGTGGATATGCACGTAGCAGTAGTTAAGTTTTGTTTTTTGTTTTTTTTTTGCTAAAATAGGAGTAGTAATAAAGCATGCGGCACAACTTAAAGATTCAGAAGAAAGGGTTAACATTTTTGTTGCAATATTTGTTACAACAAGATACACGATTCCACCAGGTTATATGGTCTTGACATCAGAACATATATAAAAAGCAATAAAGCCAAGAGACTTACGTAGAGAAATAAAGCAAAACAGAGGAGGAATCTAAAATGGAGAAAAGATTTACTCTGTGGAATCACAACGTTGATGAAAGACAAGAGATTTGACCCGAACAAAAAAGTTGTATACTTTGACCATAATCTAAAAAAGTAACCCATCATAGTTTACAATATGAACAAATTAAAAACTTCAAACCCGGTACGATTACATCATTTGTTACCGGTATGATTTTGTTTTCAGCTAAAAGAGATTCATACAAGAAAACAAATGTACACCGATTAAGGATTAAGCCAATAATATGAGAATAGTTTCTCCAAATTAAAGGAGGATTAAGCTTTTATGAATCAATCGTCGAGACGCTGAAAGAAGTAGAGATAACCCATGTCTTTAGGAGGATCTGCCGAGATACTGACTTTGTTGTCACTGAAAATAACCCAACGACCTTCTTTCAATATGTGTGCCACATATTTACCACATTGCGTTGATGTTCCGATGTGACTTACTATCCCAAACAGTTTGAATCCTGCGTTTTTTTTAAGACAAAAGTGAAAAGCTTTTTTGAGTTTAATATCTCACTTTGATCTTTGTTAAAGGTAATACAAGGAACTTACTCCCTCCTCCATCTGGTAATCCACTTTGAGCTGGAGTCTGTGAAACTTCTTCCGGTTGAAGTTCTTTGCTGCGCATGTGGCTGATATCAATCACATCCGGCACATCAATGTACACATCTGCCTCAGCAAAACCAAGAAAAATGAATATATAATTATCAGGATTATACAAAGAGGGAACATTAAAAGGATCGGTGTTTCAGAAAGAAAGAGACCAAGTTTCTCTGGGCTTCCCCCGCCTGCCTCCCTAACAAACTTCTGCATGTGCAAGACCAAATACTCTGGGAACGATGTCAGTCTAACTTTCCTGCATACAAAACGTTTACCCTTTGGGTTACTTGCACTTTACTCTAACTTGTGCTGAGATTTTCTCAGAAAAGAAAAACGTCATACTTGATGATCAATGTTATCTTCTGCTTCAGTGCAGTGCAATAATAATCAATAAACTTCTCTGATGATGTAAAAGTTGCTAGACAAGCTTCTAAAGGAACTCGTGGCCGTACAATTTCATCAGTTGAGCTGTGAGAGGATAAAAATATATATGTCTTAGCTAGAGATCCCAGTGAAACATATTAAACTTGAGAGTCAATTAACTCACATATCCTTTTTTGCTGCTTTCTTGTTGTTGAAGGCTTCCCATTCATCTTGATCAACACACAGTAGGCAAAACAAAGGACCACGGAATCAAGAAACAAGTCAAATGATAAAGCAAGAGAAATAGGAAAATTTAAGGAAGAACAGGTTATATATATATATACCTTTATTAGTTGCCTTATGCAACGGAATGCTCAAAGAGATAATACAGTCTTCCCTCTTAATATATCTGACATGTCCATATGGACAAAGGATCTTTTCTTCTACTCCAAACTTGAAGCTCCTCGAGGGGTCTAAATCTGGTCTCATGTTGCTGCTACTACGCTCAACCTTGTCTAGCAAGTGGCGGAAAAATTTAAGAGCATCCTACGAGACACAATGGTGCTAGCTAGTTAGTGTGAAATCTTCAGTATCATTCATTCAACGTAATCTAAAAGTCAAGGACATGGTTATCACCTGCTGTCTCATAGAAAAGAATTTTGCATGGCCTGCAGTAATTAGCGATTTGAACATCCGAGGAGCTATTCCTTCTTGTCTCATAGAGTATTCCCCTGATAGTAAACCATGCCCAAGCTTTGTTCTGTCACCAACAGCAAGAATTAGGAAATGAATATGAAAAACTCTTAAAAACTGGCAACAAACAGCAACTCACAATTGCATGTTGAGGTCCAAAGCTGGATCAGCTGTAGCCATCTCAAAGGCCATCTTTAAGCTCTGTTGTGAAAAGTATCTGCAACAGTTTCAGAACCACAAGTTACTACACTTGGATTTTAAGCCATCTACTTGCAAATATGTACTGATATACTTACCTTGAAATAAACGAATGGGTCGAGAAGACAATCTGCAACGTTGCTGCCATGTAGCAACTAGCAAAAGAAATGAAACGGGCATGTAAGGCATCAACAAGGAAATTGAAATCCCTGATAAGTTTTTTAATAAATTACAAAGAGTACCTGCTCCCAAGATTGACAAGTCCGGTATATCCAGGTCCATAAACTGGTACCAGTTCTTCTCCACTCTCATGTATACGGTTCCAATCAAAAGTTGTATTATGATAAGGTGGACAAGATGCACTCTTCACCAAGATAAGCTATCAGAACAATCCATTACTATTACTAACCTTGTGCATCGAGGAAAAGTCAATTCCAAAATGTGCCAGATGCTTAGGCAGGAGCGGGTCATAAACATCGTCTTCATCATAGGAACAAAAACCTGCCAAAAAACAGTTAGTGCTCAAGATAACAAAACCTTCAAAACTAGATTTAGGAAACAATTAAGACAAGTTTACCTGGTGCTTCCAAATCAGGTGTGATTGTTCCAAGCTTTACAACAAGAGGATAGCCTGTGTCCTCGGAGTGCTCAACTGAATGGTTGTTACCACCAGTTCCATCTCGGTAGCTTCTTCCACATAGAATCATTCCGTCGGTAAGATTAAGCCAGAGATTCTCCTTCTTATCACACTTTGCACATTTCCATCCAGAGGGAGGGATGATAAGGCCATTGTTGATCTGCTTCAGTGTATATGCATGTTTACTAACTTCCTTCTTCTCAGCTGACCAAGCTGCGGCTTGGTCTTCCCGCTCAGCGCCTACGGCACTCAGAACTGTATCAACAGCAATCCTCACCTAAAATAATACAAAATACAAAAAAAAAGTTAGTTAGAACACGTACATGCTTTGTGTTGCTGCATGATAGCAAACCTAAATAAAATATTTGCACCGTCTCTGGTAGTTTATCACAAGGGAATGGAAGTGAAACAAAGTCCGGAAGTATGACTATGCTATAAGATTCCTCGTACGCAGACTTTTTCTTGTCATCGACTCCTGAAACTTCGAAATAAAACTTGTTTACTCATTCCTGATCCTTGTATTAAGCATTATTGGAATAATTGTATGTATAATGTATTAACCTCTAGTCAAAGGCTTTGCAGTCTCCTTAATGTGAAGATAAACAGGGTTTCCGGTCTTGTCGTAATTCCAAACAACGTAATCCTTCCTAAAAGCAAGAAAACTGTTCATGTCTACGAACAATCCTCCTTCGGATCTCTGAAAATTCGTCATCATCAAGACTAGTCGGTAATTTGAATAAGAAAACGAATTGAGAGAGGGTTCTCGAGAGGGTTTACCGGAGTGTCGAAGGAGATGCAACACTCACGCTTGTAGATGCGGTGGGTTGGTTTGGGGATCTGAACCCTAGATAAGTTGGATAGGAGGAGCTCCATGGGGTTTTTCGAAATCGGCCAACTCTCGACGGAGGGAAAGAGAGAGCGATTTGTGTTTGTGAGATATCGCACGGCTCTTTAGAGCATCTTTATATTATATAGAGACTCTCAATACACATGTCTCGATTTGATTGGCTTAATTTCTTTTATAACCCAAAATTTAATTATCAAATTACACTTTAAATATTAGTAAGTTGTTCTCTAAGACAGGAAACGTTCACAACCACATCAAACAAATCAGTATGCGTCTTTTGGGGTCCGAGAATTTGAAGCGTAAGAAAATTAAAGATATGGACCGCGTCACATGAACATCTTAGTTTGAAGGGTAGCTAAGGAAGGAGAGAATTGAAGACTTTCGCTAAGTTAGGGTTAGATTGGGCTTTGAAAAATTTAAAGAAAATTCTTAGTTTTTTATATGTCAACTATAAAATTTGGTACAACATTTCTTTAACAGAATAAAAAATGGTATATAACATAAAAAAAAAATAGTTTCTAGCGATTTCGTGCGGTGCAAGTCCTATTTTATAAGCAAGATCAGCTTATTTTGGCGTAAGACCTAAACCTCGAAATCAAGACAAACATGACAAGAAAATTGCGTTGTATTGGACACATCACAGCCTTTGTCGGTCACGTGACAACCATTGTGTCCTCTGTTTGCGGTAAAGAGAGGAAGCGTTTGTGTTCCAACTCCACCATCTTCCCTCCTTGTCCAATATCAAACCTGCATCTTCGGAAACTTTACATTTTCCGACCATTACATCAACTACATATTAACAATCAGACCCCAAAATTAATAGGAGCCAAAGCAGAGGCAAGTCATACATAGAAACCAGAGAGAGTAAGATTACCTTCCATCGATGCCTACGAGAACAACTGTGTTCTCCGGTCCAAAACCTACAATGGACTTTGTGGAAACCGGCAGCGAGAACTGAGCAAACGATCGTTCGTTGTCGTATGAATACTTTGGTAAGTACCCTGCAAAAAATCTTATGTCAAAAAGGCATATCATCTTCAAACGAGAACACTCTTACTATTATCATCACTCTTTTTAGGTTTACCTCTTATGTATGAAAATGATGAAACCTGGGCGATGGTTTTTGGTGAACTAAGAATGTCAGGTCTTAAATGAAACACATGGAGAGTCCCTTTTTCACTCGACACAGCGACCCATTTAAGATTCGAAGAGATTGCAATGCTGTAGATCTCTACTCTTTCCATTCCTCTCCGAAACTTCACCATGAAAACAGAACAAAAATTAACAATTAATCAACCAAAATCACACCAAAAAAATACAAATAAATCTAGGGTTGAAGGGTTGATTATTTACCTCTTGTAAGAGAGTACCATCATGGGCGTTAAAGATCCTGACCAGAGTTCCTTTGGTGCTACAGGTTGCGAGCAAACTTCCATCGAGAGTCAAAGTCATGCAAGCAATATCAGAATCATGTGCTTTGATGCATTTGATTGTATTCCTTCTCAAGTCATGGACCTGAACTTGCCCCTGGTGCAACCCTGGACAAGCCAAAACTGCTTTCGCCTCAGCTTGAGAGACGCAGCACAACCCTTTCGGATTCATAACGGTATCTATCAGAGCGTGAACCTTGAGGTCTTTGAAACTGTAGACATAGATGCTTCGTTTGAGAACAACCACAATGTATTCTCTTCTCAGTTTCACCGCGATTACTTCTGATTTGAGAGTGATCTCGCGGACGCAGCAGTTTCTATGATCGTCCCAAATGAAGACTTTGTTAGGAGGATACTCGGAGCAGTTGTAACCATTGCCAACAAGAGCGAAGAGGTTAGAAAGAAAGAGCATCTCCGCGATTTTGAAGCCAGTGTTATGCTCATCGCGGCTTATGCTTTCCTTGATTGGTTCGGAGCTATATACATTAAACCCTAGAATTGTTCCGACAATGAAACCGCTCCAGTCTTGGTTCCAAGCCACTGATAATACCCTTTTGTCAACTTCGGATGCTTCAATACTTGGTAAATTTGAAGTTTCAGATGTTAAAAACGATCCTATTCCACGAACCGTGGAGAATATTAGCGAATTGATCATTCTCTTCTTCTTTTCTCAACCTAAACTGCAGAAGAAAAGAGACGATGCAAGGGTTAGGAATAACCAAGGCCTGATAAAACCTTCAATTATACAGATTCGAGTGCAAGAAAAGCGATCATAGCTCCCAAAATCAACTCTTCAGTAAACCCTAGATAAAACCCTAACTTCCGTAAACATCAAGTAAATCGTTGTGAATGAATTAAACAAGCTAATCAACGAGGATATTCGCTTCAACAGCAGAATATAAACGCAATAAAGAGAGACTTATGTAGAGAAATAACGCAAAACCGAGGAGGAATCTAAAAAAAGAGAAGAGATTTACTCTGTGGAATCACGACGTTGATGAAAGAGAAGAGATTTGACTCGAACAAAAAGTTGTAAACTTGTACATATATATAAGGAATTAATATTTGCTTTAATGCGTTTTTGGAATCTCTGGTTTCTCCGTTTATCGTTAAAGACAAAACGGTATAGGATTAGGAAAGACGACGTCATCTAAATTTCTTAAACCCTCCAACTCCCACAACGACGCCGTTTTTCGTAAAGAGGATACATACTTTGACCAGAATCTAAAAAAGTTAACAACCTCCTTGATTTGTTTAGTTGCACAAAAAAAAACTCAAACCCGGTTCGGTACACCATTTGTTTCCGGTATTATTTTGTAAACAGATTCATACAACAAAACAAATTAACAGAGATTTGAGGGAGACAGATTAGGCATTGATGGTTGATGCAAAATCATTGAGTTAACTGTAACAAAACAAAACCAAAACCACAATCATGTGTCTTCAAGGCGCATGTGAAAAAATCATTAAAATTCATAATCAATCTGAATGTCACTTCATAATCAATCTTCATGGATTTATTACAGTCCATCATTCATTATTCAATTAGTTAGACCAACCCAACCTATGAATTGGATGAACTTGAAAAGCAGTACTCATAGTACAGTCATTCACACAATGCTATATTTTCAGAGAAAAAAAATGTATTTAATTCTCTCGTGTTCTTCGACTTTATGCACCTAATTCGGTTAAATGCAAGTTTTTAGATTAAAAACAGAGACCCCACTGCAGTGGTTGGTTTGGTAAATAATCTCTCCATACAAAAATTAACACTGTACTCGTTCTTTTGATAGTTAAAAGTCTTGCAGATGGGTCTTCTCCATAATTACCAACTCTTTTGGTTAATGCTTTTGGATAACTTTTATTTCAACTTTGATTTGGCCAAATATATGCATCAAATTAAACAGAACTAACCATGCCAACGAAATTACAAAACGAGACATATATTTTGGTTAATTTTGATAACATAATTGAATTATTTGAAGAGATCGGTCACTACCCTTTTCTTGATTTGCATGCTGCATAATGCAAAGAAAAGAAAAAGCAACATATTCTTTCATTTGTAGTGTTTTTTGTCTCTTAAAGAACAAATGAGAGAGGAAAAAATGGGATGCTTTTTTTTTACCAAAAAAAAAATGGGATGCTTTTGCTTTTCTTTTTCCCTCCTTTCTTTGCGGTGTCTTTGCTTTTATTTTCCTTTACATATTAATTTGAATTTGAATCTACTTTTCTTACGTTAAAGAAAACCCATTATGTTTACTTAACAATGTATTCAAACCAAACTAATCATTGATTCTTTATCTTATTTGAGCTCACTTTCTCTTTTAACCCTGTCTCTACCACATGAAAACAAAGACAGAAACTTAATTCTCTCTCTTTCTCAGACCATCTCATGAAGTGAGTAACCAAAAAAATCTCAGCCATGACTTCTTCTCACGCCGCCTTAACCACTTCCTTCTTCTCCTTCCTCTTACTCGCCGCAACTGCAGCCGATTTAGCATCAGACGAACAAGCCCTTCTCAACTTTGCAGCATCAGTCCCACACCCACCAAAACTCAACTGGAACAAGAACAAGAACCTCTCTCTCTGCTCCTCATGGATCGGCATAACCTGTGATGACTTCAACCGCACCACCCGCGTTGTAGCCGTCCGTCTTCCCGGAGTTGGTCTCTACGGCTCAATCCCACCCGCCACATTAGGCAAACTAAACGCTCTCAAAGTCCTTAGCCTCAGATCCAACTCTCTCTTTGGACCTCTACCTTCTGATATACTCTCACTCCCTTCTCTTCAATACCTTTATCTCCAACACAACAATTTCTCAGGCGAGCTCGCTAATTCTTTGCCTTCGATCTCCACGGAGCTTGTTGTCTTGGACTTGTCTTATAACTCTTTCTCCGGTAACATTCCTTCCGTTCTCCGAAACTTGTCTCAGATCACTGTTTTGTACCTTCAAAACAACTCTTTTGATGGTCCAATTGATTCTCTTGATCTCCCGAGTGCAAAGGTTGTAAATGTGAGCTATAACAACTTGAGTGGACCCATCCCTGAGCATCTCAAGAACTCGCCGGAATATTCTTTCATCGGAAACTCATTACTATGTGGTCCACCTCTGAATCCATGCTCAGGAGGAGGCATCTCTCCATCTTCAAATTTGCCAAGACCGTTGACTGAGAATCTCCATCCTATCCGGAGGAAACAGAGTAAAGCCTATATAATCGCCATTGTAGTCGGATGCTCTGTAGCCGTTCTTCTCCTTGGAGTTATTTTCTTGATTTGTCTGTTGAAGAAGACGAAGAAAGGAGAAGAAGGCGGAGAAGGAGGGCGAGCGCAGACGGGTGGAGTGAATAGCAAGAAACCGCAAGATTTCGGGAGCGGAGTTCAAGATCCAGAGAAGAACAAACTCTTCTTCTTTGAGAGATGCAATCACAACTTCGACTTAGAGGATCTCTTGAAAGCTTCCGCTGAAGTTCTTGGTAAAGGGAGCTTCGGAACGGCCTACAAGGCCGTGCTTGAGGACACAACCGCGGTCGTGGTGAAACGTCTAAGAGAAGTCGTGGCGAGCAAGAAAGAGTTCGAACAGCAACTAGAGGTCGTTGGGAAGATTAACCAGCATCCGAATTTCGTACCGCTCCTAGCTTATTACTATTCCAAAGACGAGAAGCTATTGGTTTACAAGTACATGACGAAAGGGAGCTTGTTTGGGATCTTGCACGGTGAGTCATGATGACTGATGAGACCAAACCCTAAATTTGTTTTGTAACCTAAAGCTTGTTGGTGGGGTCACTGAAAAGACACTGGTTCTTTTTTGTATTTTTGGGACAGGAAGCAGAGGAGCTGACAGAGGAGTAGACTGGGAAACGCGGATGAACATCGCGACAGGAACATCAAAAGCCATATCTTATCTTCACTCGTTGAAATTCGTTCATGGAGACATCAAATCCTCCAACATACTACTCACTGAAGACCTTGAGCCATGTCTCTCCGACACGTGTCTTGTCACACTCTTCAACCTCCCGACTCACACACCGCGAACCATCGGTTACAATGCTCCTGAGGTGATTGAGACGAAGAGAGTCAGTCAGAGATCAGACGTTTATAGCTTTGGTGTAGTGGTTCTCGAAATGCTAACCGGAAAGACACCTTTGACTCAGCCTGGTCTCGAGGATGAGCGTGTGGTCGTTGACCTTCCGAGATGGGTTCGCTCTGTTGTGAGAGAGGAGTGGACTGCAGAGGTGTTCGATGTGGAGCTCTTGAAGTTTCAGAACATTGAAGAGGAGATGGTTCAGATGCTTCAGCTTGCGTTAGCATGTGTCGCAAGGAATCCAGAGTCAAGGCCAAGGATGGAGGAGGTTGCGAAAATGATTGAAGAAGTGAGAAGAAATGATCAGTCGCTGCAGTTACAGCAGAACAGAACTTCCTCTGAAGCTACTTCGATTGTCTCTGAATAATTTCTCCTCCCGACGAACAAATTCTGTTTCTTTAACTGTCATATTCTGTTTCTGTAATTCCATAGTCACTGAAGTTGGCATCATTCAGTTTTGAGCATAAAATTAAGAAAAAATTGATATCGATATTTGCTTTCGACTGCCGTGGCAGCGTTTTCGAACAGATACAACTTAACAACATTCCTTGTATTTTCATTACAGAAACAAAAAGTATTCGTTTTGACTTTAATTCTACACATGAAAATAAGACACCAGGATAGTCGAACAGATAATACACACAACAAAAATAAAATAAAAAGTGAACAAATAAAACAATGAAAATATAACTTTAAATTATGTGTAGGTTCACCCAAAAGAAGATTATTTGGCTATTGCTCACTTCTCAGCAGTTGATTCCACATTCCAGAATGTCCGGGCCAGTGACTCTGCTAGTGAAGGGATCAATCCTAACCCAGAGCAAGGAGAAGATGGAAGCCAAGAGAACAGACCAGACCACAACAATAGTAGGAGTCCGGTTCTGTCGACCCATCAAACCCTTGAGGAAAGGGTACAGATGAACAATCACCCAAAAGGCGAAGAACAGCTTACCAAAGAGCGGTCCCCAGGATTGGTACCCACTGTTGATGGCGTAAGAGACTCCTGCAACAACTCCCACGAGGTTCACAATGAGCAGCGTCGTCGGCGGAATCAGAAGCGTTGTCCATTTGAACAAGTAGAGCTCGGCAAAGTCTCCGTCTTCGTCTGAAGCTTTAGACGTGACTGTGAAGTTTGTGTCAATACCGGCAAGGACTTTGAGGATACCTTGAAACACGGCGAATAAGTGAGCGGAAACTCCACCAATGACCCAAAACTGCTCGTTTCTCCACCACTCGTCTATCCCTACGCCACTCCACCTCATTTCTAGTATACCCGTTGCGAAAATGGAGAGAAAGAGAGACAGAAACCATATACTTGCAATGTTACTAATCTGCAAAAGGGAAACAGTTGAAACCACGTCATTGTCTCAGAACGTAGTTAGGGTTTGTTCTAAAGATAGGGAGAGAGACAGAGAGAGAGGTGTCAAACCTGAGGAATGATAAACTGGTTGGTGAAGAGACAAACGGCGGGCAATGTACAATAGGCGAGAAGAGGGATGGAGGTGAGTGGGTAGATGGTGGTGTTGATATATGCAAACCTCTCAAGAAATTTGAGACGCCCATTGTAACCATAC